CTCCTCCATTGCTTTTTCAGGCCATAACCAGGGAGCTGGACTGGAAGTGAAACAGCTGGAACAGGAATAGCACCTATATGGGATGCTGGCACCACAAGGAAGAGGATTAGCCTGTGCACCACCTACATCAGCCTACATCACCCTATTTTCAAGATAAAATTCACAGCACACCATAGAAACAACATGCTCAGTGCAATTTTTTAGCACTCCTATAGACAGCTCCGAAGAGTACCAAAAATAAGTGTGAAAGCCAAGAAGCCATACAAGGTGCAATCAATGTATACAGGTATATGCTAGAGTATAATAGAGTGCTGAAATCACACTGATTTACACTATTATTTGATTCATATTTGTCTTCCTGATGCAAGGTAAGCTCTTTAAACAACTAGATTTTGTGTTTTAGCTGACAGCTCCATCTCAGATAATCGCCTCAATATCTAGATCACAACAGGAGCTCAATAAGCCAAAAAAAAAAAAAAAAAAAACCAAAAAACCAAAAAAACAAAAAAAAACCCAGTAAATGAGAAGATCCATCTGTGCTCACAGGTAGGATACCATAAAGTAAGAGGATTTGGGAGGGGATGGATATGTTTACTGTCTTGAATATGAGGATGGTTTTACAGGCATACATATTGAAACCCTACACCATAGGAGACCTGGAAGAGACTCCTGGCTGCTGGCTTCAGATCAGCTCAGCTCCAGTCATTTTGGTCACTTAGGGAGTAGACCAGTGGATGAAAGATCTTTCTGTCTCTTTCTCTCTGTAAAGTTGCATTCTGATGGAAATTATATCTCAATGAAGTTGCCATTTAAAATGTCAAAATCTATGGGAGCAGTAAATTATATCATTTATAAGTTCAAGAAATATTTACAATAATATTTTAAAGAGAATCATAGTTCTTCATATATTCTAGGTATAAGTCACTTGTAAGATATGCCATACACATCAAATGGATTTTTGGATCCTGCAGTTGGAATAGGAGCTTACTCCGTCCACTCCAGAAAAAAAAAAAAAAAAGATATAGTACACAAGTTTCCTATGGCTTTGCGGGTTAGTTTTTTCCCACTTTTTTGATAGTGTCTTTTGAGGCATGAATGTTTTTAATTTTTATGTCAAGTTTATATTTTCTTTTGTTCATGTTTGTGTGTGTCTTGCGTAAGAACTCATTATACCAATTCACAAGGACTCATTCTTATTTTTCCTCCTAAAAGCTTTATAGTTAATTTCTATATTTGGGTCTTTGAACTCTTTTGAATTAACTTTTGTATATAGTGCGAGATAAGGGCCCAACTGAATTCTTTAACATATGGATAAGTAGGTATTTTAATATGGTGTGTTAGGAGATCATTCCTTCTTTCTTTTAATTCAGTCAGTATGGAAGTTTAATTTCTAATCTGCTTAGCACCTAGCAGTGATGTACTCTGGGTCCTTCGTTATATTTCTTCCTTTGTAACTTCAACTACTGCCTTAGTCCACTTTGTGCTGCTATGTCACAACACCTGAGCATGAGTAATTTCTGAAGAAGAGATTGACTTCTGAAAATTCTAGAGGCCAATGTCAAGGTTCTAGCATCTGTTGAGGGACTTGTGTCTTAATGATAGAAGGTATCATATGACAAAAACACAAGCGACAGTAAGAAAGTAGAGTCCAAAGCTGCTGTTATAAGAAGCCCAGTCTCACAATATCAACATGACATTCATCCAGTCACAACATTTATTTAGCCATGAGGTGGTCTTGATCTTATCAGGATCCCCCGTTGCATCACAGGTAAACATTTCCAGCATAAGAACTTTAGGAAACCATTCAGACCACAGCAACTGTCCTTCATCTGACTCTAGGAATGTAATACTCACTTCTGACCTATCTGAAGTTTGTATCTAGATCCTTGGGTCAAACAAACTCTACTGACATTTACAGACTTCAATGACAACAGAACATAGTGCATGTGTTCACACATACTCACATGATCCCCAGCTACTCAATAACACAAGTTTTCCCAATCCAAAGGGAAAGCCATGGTTTTCCATGACTTCCTATATGGCAGTTACTGAAAATGTGACAGACATCTGTCATGTAACGTTCACCACCTTAGAGCATTTTGATGGTAAACTTGAGGACATTTTTTTTAATAGGGAAACTCAAGGGAAAATACAAAAAAAAAAAAAAAAACCTTTAAAGTAGGCCTATGGGAGCTTTTCACACCATTCATTTAGACAACTCATCAGAAAAAAAAGTAAAGAAAGGGCTGGGGAGGATCTTTAGCATATCCTTAAGATTCTCCCAAAGCAGGTCCTTGAACCACCCACCCATGGATTCCCTTTAAAAAATCAAATGGATCTCTTGATCTCTTCCTTTTCCCCCAAAACACTCTCATATGTTCTTCTATCATTCCAAATTCCTTAAATGTTTATTAAATAGATAACTGTTACAGAATATTTGCTATGTGACAAGCATTCTTACCTTGAAAGAGGGTTCCTCATTTCCATAGATCCAAGTCCCTCTTGAGGGTCCTGCTCTTGGAAGCTGCCCTTTTCTCAGTTGCTGCTTGCCTACTTGACCACTAAGTGTGAACCAAGTTGCTGCATTGCTGCTTAGTTTCCATGAGTCACCTAACCCAGCACTTCACACATGCTAGGCATTCAGTGCATATTTTACGGAAGATGGTAAAACCCAGCTCTTGGTGGAAACTCTCCTCAAATAATCCACTTCCTAGAGAAGCTGTCCTTGCCTCACCCACTTCCACGTTCAAAAGACTGGAATAGTTTCACATGTTCTTGTTGACATCTGAATTCTGCGACAGGGTCTGTGACAAGCTCACATTACTAGAAGCAGATTTCCCTGCCAGGGGCAAGCCCACATTGCTTCTCACACTATGGAAAGTGAGAAGATCTGAGAGCTTCCAAGTCAAGCATATGCAGATTATCAGAACCAGGCTTTCCATCAAGTTCCTGAGGCATTAAACACATGGGATGTCTAGCAAGCAAGGTGAGTGGTTTTCCAGGAATGAAGCCATTGGGATAGTCTTGCCATTATGGAGGAAGTGATTCCATAGGGTTGGAAAGGACAAGCTGGAAGCTATAGACTGTATCACACAATGTTCTCTTCTGCATGACCCTCATTTCCTGTCTGAGTCACACATGTTACCAATTTTGTTGACAGGCTGTTAAAAGCACACACATGCAGAAAACAAAGGTTGTGTCGGGAAATCCCTGGATTGTTCTTTGTAAACAGATCTGAATCTCATCCAAGGACTATTAAGAACTGAAAAGGTGATACTGCACCAATCAAACCTGGCAGTGATTTGTGCACTGATTTTGGGTAAAAACTGGCTCTGGTGTTCTGTAAAATAACAGCTTCAAGGTTAATTAGGAAAGCCCTGAGGGCCAGTTTCTGTTCACTCACGCCAGAGAGCTGCTTTTTTTATTTTGTTTGTTTTCTCTAACTTGTTTCAGACTTTTGTTCATCATGCCAGAGAAGTCAGCTTTATAGAAGTTGATCCTGGGACTTTGGAAGAAAACAGTCAGTGATGACCGAACTGAAATGTCCTTGTTAACACTTCACTTTTAGAAGACCATGTATGTAAACTTGAGCCACCCCTGGAAAGGACACCCCCTGAGATGCCCCGTGAACACTGGGGATCCATTTTCTTTGTTTCAATTCCAGCCTGCGAATTAAAGCCAAGGAGGGTGGACTCCTCATGAATATGCATTGCACTCCTGGCTGAGTATGAATGTAGGGCAAAGCTCTGATTAGCAAACCTTAGCCCCAAGAAGCAGAGGAAATACCACGAATGGAGATAACATACGATGGGCAGATTTCTTTCTCTCGTCTTTTTTCTTTTAAATTTCACTGGAGAATAACCACATCTCTCCAATCTGTCCCTTCAGGATCTGAAAGCAGTTCAAATAAAAGGCCTCCATGTGAGGCCCTCCTCCAACAAACCAGTGCCGAGGAAGCGCAGCAAATCCGTCTTAATTTAATTTATCCTCTCTGGCCAGTTCAGCAGAATCTACACAGAACATCTGCACTTGGAAGGAGAAATAACAGTACTTTTTAAAAATACTCCGTGTACTTGTTTTGATCATTCATTAGCACAGAACTCGATACACAAAATAAAATGTAATGAGGTTAGGCTAGTCCATAGGACCTGAGGTAACGTTTTAATATATTTGTAGATTTTATGCCTATGAGCTCTCGGCCCACTGCTGATAAAAACGAGTTTCTGCAGAATTGAATCAAAAATACAACCCCCAAAATGAGACACTGGGTGGGACGCTCCAGGCCAACAGTTGATCTTACTGTAATTTCAGAGCATTGTCAGTGAGCACAACGCTAACTACCGGGGTGCCCCGGGCCGCTTCACAAGCCGGTCCCGGGCGCCACAAGCGGAGGAGCAGCGCCTGCCCCCCGACGGTCCGGGCCGCGCAGCCTGTTGCTGGAGGCCAGGCCCCGGGTCGCTCTGGGTGCACAGAGAGCCTTGGGATTACACACACACACACCAGGGCGCACCCCGTTCTGCTCTCCGCCGCGGTCAGGGCCCGAACCTCGGCGTCCCACAGCCTTTTCCGCCTCTCCCGCCACCCACAGTACACAGCCTCCTCTCAGACGACAGGAGACTCCATTGCTGCTAAAAGTCGGGGAGACGTAGGAGGCGAAACGCAAGGACGCCGCCGCCAGCCCACTCCTTCCGTCTGTTCAAAACGTGACGGTTCAAAACGCACTTGAGAAGCAAACCGGTGAATCGGAGAAGCCGCTGGGCGGATGAGGTTGCAGGCGGAGGGCCGAGGAGGCTCCGTCGCACGTCTTCCCTCGCACAGTGGTACGGTCCTCCCGGGGGCGGGGCGGAAGCCGCCTTCCCGGCCCGGTCTCCGCCCTCCTCGCGCGGGACCGCGAGATCCCGGGAGCGCGCGTCCGCGCCCGCGCGCCGCCGCTCGCCGAGCGCCCCCTCCGCGTCTGCAGCCCGAGCTCGCCCGGCTCTGGGGACGCCGCCACCGTCGCCTCCGCCGCCTCTTCCTCCTCCCGTGGGCGTGCACGGGGCTGCGCGCCGGGGCGGGGAGGGAGCTCTGCCCTGGCTAGGCGGCGGGGCCCCGGCTGCTGCTGCTGAACACCGGCTCGGCGCAGCCGGGTCTGCCTGCCTCACCGCGGTGTGACAGGTGCAGAGTCGGGGCTGAGGACCCACCTGCGGCCGGCGCGGCGATGCCCACCATGCGGAGGACGGTGTCGGAGATCCGCTCGCGTGCGGAGGGTGAGTGGCCGCCGTCGCGCCGGGCTGGTTTGGGGCCGGGTGGGGGCGTAGAAGAGGTGAGCGTGAGTGTGAGTGTGAGAGACTATGGGGGAACACACCCGAGCAGGCAGTCTGTGCACCGTGCGCAGTCCCCCGCCGACCCTTCTCCCTACCCGGTGTCATTCCGGGTGCACTGGCAGCCCCTTTTCTGGGCTCCACAAGTCCCAAATTGGAGTGGTGGGAGGGAGCCCCGAGGCTCGCTGGCTCCGCAGCCTGCCCATTTGGTCCCTGTCACCGAGCGCACCCGCCCTGCTCGCCTCCCCGTCCGCTAGTGGGCGGACCTCAGGGTCTTCACTTAGCATCTCCCCACCCCCTCCCACCGCCCCCACCCCACTGCCCCCCGCCCCCGAAGAAGCCGGCTCGCTTTTCTCATCTACGGGATCCTTCTGTCCGGGGACCCTCGCCTCTCAGAGCGCAGGGAGCGTTGTAGGGGAGGGAGAAGACTCCGTGTGTACCAGGGGTTCCAGCCTCTGCAATTCTGCCTCTTGGCGGGGGAGTTGCACCCGGCTGAGGTTCCGTTTTTGTTTTCGCTTTAGCGTGAAGCCGGCGCTTCGTTCCAGCTGAGCAGACTCTTAGCGTGGTGGAAGCTGGTTCGTCCCCGGGCCAGCTGTTGAATGGCTACACCTGTAGGCAATGAGTACCAGGTGTCCTAGGGCGTTCGCTTGTGCCCATCACCCTGGCCTACCTGGAGGGTGGCACACAACTCTTTGAGTATCTGATTGTGCTCTGTGTGACGTCTGTGTGTGTCTTGAGTTTTGTTTGCCTTTTTCTCTCCCACAAACCTATACCTAATTCTGCAAAAGTTGGAATGGCAGGTGTTTGAGAATTAGCCTACCTTACCACCATCACTGACCTCCAGCCTTCTTCCTCATCCTCCACTGCAGGCAGGTGCTGAAGTGATTTTTTAAAAAGCATACACACATTAGGAGAATGGGATTCTAAAGGTTTGAGACAGGCCATTTTATTATCTTTTTCTCCCTAAGGTCCTCGTGGAATTATAATAATAATAATAATAATAAGATTCGCTGGATGCTATCATCCAGAATTCTCTGATCCAATACTTAGAAAATATTAAGTGGACCTCTGTAGCAAAAAGGTCACAGAGTCAGAACTGACTTGTGTCCCGCGAAGGAATACACACTGTCACTTGTAATAGCCTCTTCAAATATTCATATAGGCTGTTAAGAGTTTTAGATGTGTAATTGAATAGGTAATACTAAAAATGCACACACTAACATTATCTGTGTTTACATCTCTGAGTGAAATGAATTTTGCTAATCACCTTTTGAATCAGACAGACAGTGTGATGATAAAAGTTGGTCTTGGTAATAGTTGGTATTTTTAAATAATGATTTGTGGATGATCTGTTGTGGGAATTAGGGGCAAGAGAAGCAGTGCAAAGCAGTGCACAAGCTTTGGCACCCGAGAGTTTAACACAGAGAGGCTGCAGTGGTGGTTTAGATGGGCCTTTGTGTGTGCTGTTCAGAGCACGCCTACGAAGATGGCCTTTTAGCTCTCCTGGAGGTTGCTGAAGGTGGGGATTTCCACTGGTAGTTAGGGAACTGGAACGGTGAGAGTGGTCTAGGAACCAAGGTTGAGCAACTGGTTGAGTGATACATTCAGATTAAGAGCTCTGACCAAAAAAGGACTGCCTTTTTATCAGCCTTCACATTGCCTGAAGGTCCAGTGCAGTATAAGGGTCGTAATGGTGCTTGGTAAATGATTCTTCCCTCCGAATTGTTTGATTTCATTGTAAATGATTCTTCCCTCTGAAATTGTTTTAGTTTCTCAGCATTTGAGGTTGTGTTAAAGACAAATTAAGAATCCTATGAGATGGCCATGTGACTCTTGCCTTGCCCTGCCCACACCTTTCTCGCCCAAGGTTTATTTTCCCCTGACAGCTGCTGCTGCCCAGTGCCTTCCTTTGCGTTGCAGCCCCGCTTGGTTTCAGCTGAGGGGAACATCATCAGCCCTTCACCCAAAGGCGGCTGGTGCGTAAATGACTCAGACACTTGTAACCTTGTGGTTTGGCCACAAAGATTTTTTCTGTGCTGGCCATATCTCACTTGGGAACGTGAAGGTTAGAATGAGAATCGAAGCAGGAAGAGAAAGTGAGTCGGTTGGTAGAGGAGAGAATGGATGATTGAAACAGGAGTGAAGATGTTGCAGATAAGCATGAGCAAAACTGAATAAAGAGAAAGGGGAGAGAATAGAATGGGTGGGAACGCAAAGCTGATGAGAGAGGGTCGCCAGACCTTAGAGCCCTCCCTTTCTCTCCCTGAGTTTTCCACTACCAGTTCTCAAGTTGTATTAAAATAAGCTGTTTTGTTTGTTTGTTTCCCCTTTGAAGCTACTTGAATGGGTTTCTGTTCCCTACTTAGACCAGCCTTTCTGTCAGTTGTTTACAAGCAAATTGGAGAGAAAGGACTTAAAGGGAATAGAAAATAAATAGCCTAAGAGAGAATGTTGTGCCTTGAACATCATGCTGCTGTGGATGGTATAGGTCCTGTGGAAAATTTGGGATTTAGCACAAACTTATTTCTGAGCCGGAGCGCGTACCTCATGAAGGTCTGACGGAGGTCCTCGTGCACTGCTTCTCAAACCCCAAGGATGTGCTGACCTCTTGTTCAGTGCAGATTCTCATTCTGGTTCAGGATGTCTGTGAGGGTCTGGAGTTGTTTCACAGTAGTGATAAATGATAGGTGATGCTGCCTCAGGGTCCCAGGCTGAGCAGCAGTATTCTGAAGCAATATTCATTTCAGCTGTGGAGAGAGTGGTGAAGGTAGAAAATAACAATGTGAAAAAGTAGTAACAGAGAACATGGCTTATGTCAGAGTTCTTAAAGAAACATGAGAAGAAGAGAATGTCAGATTGGATAGGTAGAATACTGCTGGATCAAAGAGCATTTTTTAATGCCAAGATGAGTCATTTGGATACAAAACCAAATATTGAAACAGCATCCTAGAGTTCATGTAATCTAATTTCTTATTGGAAAATGACACCAGTACATAGTGTCTGACCTGGCCAATTGGGAGCTGAATCATTTGAAAGGACAAAGAAAATTCTTAGATGAGCCTAGAAGTATGCTGGATGTTCTGGAGGCGAAAGAACTCTCAGACAACTCCATTGGAAGTTCTTGTAATGAACAGATGGTTTGTGTTAGAATGGAACACTGAAAATGGGGAGAAAGGGAGAGATTTCTATGTCATTCAATAGCTATCTGTTGACCTCCTACAAGTTATGTTCCAAGTTGTTGAGCTACGTGAGTGAACAGCAGAGGAGTGCCACCTGAAGGCACTTATGTTGTAGTAAGGAGGTAAAGCAAGCAGAAAACATCAGCAAGTTGCAAAAGCTGTTATTAAGTGCTGTGGGGAAACTAAAGAGAAAGTAAAATGTGCACAGTGGTAACCCTATCAGATGCTTTAGTCCAGGCTTCATTGACAAATTGAGGTAAAAGGGGTGAGGGAATTAAATCACATGGGGAACTGGGGGTAAGGCATCCTCTCAGAGAGACTGTCCAGAGCAAAGGTTAATGCAAAGTTAAGGCCCTTTAAAGAAGCCATCTAAAAACAGTGGGAATGGAGGCCAGCAAGGTCACGTGATACCCCTTGGCTATCATGAGTATAGGGCAAAAGAGATGGATTCAAAGCAAGAGCAGCAGTTGTCCAGCAGTAATTTAGAATTTCAGTGTTTATGAAGTTGCACAAAGACACTAAGATAATAGTGGCCTACATAAAACAGTTTTTCATCTGCACACCTAACCCCAGGGTGTGCAGTCAGCCTCCGCTGAGCCTGCTATGCCAAGTCGATTGCCTCCTCTGGCCTGTGCTTCATCATCCTTGGTCTGTGAGTCCTGTTAAGTCACAACATGGTGGCTGGGGCGCCAGTCATTGTGTGGGCGTTTTAAGCATGAAAAAATGACAGTGTGAGAGAAAGAGGATTTTTTTTTTCCTGAAAGCACCACACACAGACTAAAGCTTATTTTGCATTAGCCTCTGTCTGCAAGAGAACTGGGAAATGGAGTTTTCCAGCTGGGCACATTACTCAATGTAGTGTTGCTAAAGGGAAAAGGCGAGAAAAGATTTTGGGTTGGCAACAGGTTCAGTCATAGTCAGGTCCTAAGATTGCCAAAGCCCCCTGCTTCAATGGAGTAGGACCGCCTCTACTTTTCCCTCTATATAAAATAATAAGCATTAAATTATTCAAGACTAAAGAAATGTGCATGTGAGAAAAAAAAAACCTACCAATCGTCTGCATGTTGTTTTGCATTGGTTATGGGAAAATGTAGAAGCCTTCATTTGATAATATGAAACATCCACAAAATGATAAATTTGCAAATATTTTTAGCCATCTCATTTTCCTAAATGGTAACTTTGGAATTTTTGTAACCCTGTAGAATACTTTGTTTCATTTACTAAAATGATCATAAGAGAAACAAAATTTCTGGATGGGCAGAGTGGTGAAATGACAATTTGAAATGTCCCCATGCCATCCCAGAGGCCCTGTTTGCAATCTCAGCAGTGTGCTCCAGTCCAGCTTCTTGCTGATGCACACCCTGGAGGGCAGCAACTGAGTTCTAGGCAGAGGGTTCCTGCTGCCCGTGCCTGAGGTCTGAATTGAGTTCCAGGCTGCTGGCTGGTGCAAGTATCGGGAGTAAACAAACAGAGAGAAGATCTATTTCTATGCCTCAGAAATGAATTGTTTTTGTTTATAGACTTTGCATGTTCCCTATAAAATATTTTGGTTTTATATGTTGTACTCTTTATTTAGTGAAGCACTAGACCTTTGACTATACTCTAAATTTAAAATTTGTGACTTCAGAAATGAGAGGGAGAAAGTGAAGTATCTATGATGGATTCTGTTCTCTGAATTAATAGTGTGTTAACATGAGAACTTATGAGAATTGTGTTGCAGTGGGTTTGTGAATTTGCTGTGACCCTAGGACCATTAATCAATTTGCT